GACAAATGAGAACAACATTTTAATATCAAAAAAGTATTCAAAACTAAAATAAAATGTTTTTAATTTCATTAATAAAGACATTATTTATTGATAGAATCGATGCTTTGATTTTGTTTTTAATTCAACTCATGATTTGTTTTCCAACTTTTTATTTATAATTTATATTCAATTCAATTGTAATGAAAGCAATGTTTGTCTCAAAACTTTCAAAGTTTTGTTTGATATCATTATTAGTGTTGGCATTGAATGCAAACCACTGTTGGTTCGGTGCGAACGCCAGTCACGACCAAAACAGCACTTCCAACACATCCAACACATCCCATGACAAGCCATTTGTGCACAGAATCCAAATGACCACTGGATTCGTTATGAGATCTCTTCTTGTGGTGAGTGGTTGTCCTCTCTTTACCGTTGATCTGATTGTTGTGAATAAGGCTAACAAATGTGTGGAATGTGTTTAGATTATGGTAATATCGATGACTCTATTAGTGATTTGCATTCTTCGCGTCTATTGTTCCAAAGGATCCAAAGGAATGAAGACATCGAAGGATTGTCCGAAATATGATTCTCTGCCGACGACTGCCATCAATGACTCGCTTCCGAAGAATGCATTCGTTTTGAATGATTCGGACGACGAAGAGATCAGTCTCTTTGATTCCAACCATCAGTTAATTAAATAAACGCTCAAATGATCTTCAATTTGCATATTATGTCAGTTTTAGTCAACATTTTTTGATACATTTTGTGATATAATTACAAATTATTTATACTAAATATGCCTTAAATATTAGTCATTATTCCGTACGGAATATTCTGTTTGCCATTTCAATCAATGAATCATTTAATTGAGACATTTTTATATCAATAATTTATTGAATAAATATTTATTGTTAATTAAGAGATACAGAAGTAGTGTTTGCTTTGGTCTCAAACAGTGATCACTCTTTGCCCGAAACCTCTGAGCAGAAGGAATGGCGGCATTCGGTAGAAGTGATCGTTTTCTGTGTCCGTCAAATCCGTCAACACTTCCAACCAACACATGTATAGAGGGATTGGTATGTCTTTGTTGAGCGTCGGTAGAGTCCTAACACATAATGACAACCAATTCATTCATATATTCATTCAAAATCAGTGGTTTCTTAAGACTTACATAACAAGTAATGTTGTGTTCACTGAATTCTCTATTAAAAGTTGTCTCAACTTTAAATATCTATTCGTCTATTAATAACAAATGATATAAAATTATTATTATTGGTATTGCTTTCAAAGCATAATAAGTCAATACTTACTACTTCTCTATATTTGAAGAGCTCTTCTCTCGTAACCGAAATTTTATTCGCAGATTTTTGTTCACTTTTGATCACAAAGTTTGAAATAATTGACTCAAATTTCATTTTGCTGTTTTGGTATTTGAAAACGTATTAAATATTACAATATTTGTATGAATTGAGGCGAGAATATAACATACCTTTGATTGTTTGTCTCTAAATCTGATTCAGCGAACACTCGTATCTCAGAGCATGGGATTCGCAATTTAGACATCAATTGGTTTAAACTGAAAGTTTTAGTGTACAATACATATTAGAATCTTATAGTTTTGTTGTGATTTTCTATGATAGGCCTATACTGTATAGTAAATTACATTTTTAAGTCTCTCTCTCTCTCTCTCTCTCTCTCTCTCTCNTCTCTCTCTCTCTCTCTCTCTCTCTCTCTCTCTCTCTCTCTCTCTCTCTCTCTCTCTCTCATATTGACATAATTATAATATTACTGGTAATTCATTACTTTTCTTTAGTTTCCGATATTTCCTCACTGTTTGTAGACATTGTAAGTATTCTTAGACTACAATTACTCCAAATGTCATTAAGGCTGAGAAGATAGGGAACCATTAAAGTGAGTCCTCCGTCATCGGCCAACAACCAGATATCAATTGTTCCCCGCCTTTGCTTCTCATTAAATTGATTCATAGCTTCGATCGCATCGTTTGGTATTAGACCTTAAAATATACACAAAGTGTTTATTAACTCAATTCTTAATACAGGAATGCAAACAAACTTTTAATGTCATTCAAGTGTTGTCTTTTGGAAATGTTATCAACATTTATAGAGATAGTCTGATTGGTCTCACTCTCCGCCTCCAAGATTTCATTTGGTTCAGCAATTGTGGGCAAAATTTTGGTATCATTTTTATTTAAGCCTGAAATGCAAGTGTTTTTAGGAGACCACTCGTGTGTAAACGTATAGTATTATTAAGTGTCTAATAAATACCCGAATCAAAGAAGTCCGCATAATCTAAGCCCTCTTGTATTCTTAACATCATTACCGATAATTCAATTTCTAACGCAAATCTGTGTTATATTGTTAGCAAAAATAATAATAATTTCAAAAACAAATATAATAATAAAATGTGAATAAAGAAATTGCATACAGAATAACGCTATGATAATCAATTAAATCCTCAGGAAGACAGTCTCTCCAACTGCTTTTATATCCTATTAATGGAAATTAATTTTTTATAAAAATATTTGTATTTAAATGGTTTTGATTTGATCCGTACCGAGCATTAAGATGTTTGGTCTTAATTTGCGACCGAGACCTGCAATCTGTTTATACACATGTAATTGCAATTAATATCATTTATCATGCAATAAGATGTGCGTTATATCTGACCTGAACCATACAATTGAAGCCATTCTTCAATGAATTGGATTCCAGAAGCAAATAAAAAGCTTTGATCTTTCGTTTAGTCATCCAATCGTATTGACTCGATATAACCCTTTCCCTTATCTTATGATTGATGGGATCGTTGACGATATGGGCGATGAGTAGTAAACTCTTATGTTTTGTAATATTGTTAGCGAACTCCACGAGTGGTATTCTGGCGCTCGGATTACCGGTCATAAGCAATATGGATGGCCTGAAATTCTTGACGTGATCTCCGATACTATTGAGTTTGAGGGCTGCGTTTAAAGCAGAGTTGTATATGTGAGCTCTCTTCGATGTTCCCCAATTCACATCTAGTATTCAACAACGAGGTGATTTAAGAGTTAAATCTACACGTGTCACATGCATTTAAGATGTACTGTACCTGGTCCTTTCTTGATCATCCATAAGAAAATGACTCCCATTATAACCACTGTTACAATAGCCGATATATAGTCCAAAAGAAACATGATAACAATGCAAACAATTCCTGCGGCGAGACTTATCCATTGGTTGTAATATTTGAAAGTCGGCCTAAAACTGGGGGAACCGACGAAAGAGGCGTGAAATGAGGCGATATTTACTAAGAAGAATGAGGCCATAAAGAAGTTGGATATTATGGGCGCAATTGAGTTTAGATCACCTGTTGATCATTATTCAAATTAAACAATATTTTTTATTATAAAATCAATTTTAATAAAATATTTTAAGAACACAAAATAGATTCAAACCAATTGCTATGAACGCGAGTGCAATTATAAAGGTGAGAATATAGCCCCTTCGCGGGTCATTTATCTCGCCGTATCCTTTGGCAAAGTATTTGATATAAGGAAACAGATTGTCTTCACATAATGCCTATTAAATTAAAATCACATTTTCTATTATCAGTTATACAAATATAAGGCTAAGGTTAAGACCTGGAATATTCTGGGAGCGCAAACATAGGAACCCAACGCTGAACTCAATGTAGCCGCGAATATTCCCACCCAAATCAAAGGCCCGTAACCACTCGATAGAGTCATTGTCTTTAAAATATAATTAATTATTTAATATTTATCAATTATAAACATAAATTACCTGATAAAAAGGTATTAGACCATATGAACAGGTATTATTTTTTGCACATTCAAGTGCATCAAAGTTTATGTCTGCTATGTTTCCAGAAGCATACGGATGGACAGTAAATCCAAGACATAATATAAGTATCAAATAAACTGAAGACGTGGTAATAATTGCCAAAAATGTGCCTAAAATATATGACAACAGTAAATCAATGTTTGATTCGATTATTGTCACAAACCCTTAGGAATGGCTTCGTTTGGATCTTTTAAATCACCGCTCATACTGTGGACAATAGATATTAAATATTGAAAGTTAGTTATATTAAAATTTACAATAATTAACAAATTGTTTTCAGTAATATCAATATGAAAGGATATGAAAATAATGATAGCACCTTGCTCCTGCAAATATGCCAATTACTGATGGGAAGAATACACCGAATACATTGAAAAAGTTTTCTCCGTTCCAATTGGGGTATAAATTCTTGTTGGCCACAGAAACTGATGGTAAACTAATATAACATATTGTTTAAATTATAAAACATAAAACACTCACAACTCCATCCCGTAAATCCTTTTGATATTTTCTCATCACTCGGTGGTATAAAAGTGCCCACTATTTCAGTTCATTGAAAATTATTCAAATCAAGTTTAATTATAAAAGTCTATTAAGATACTTTACCAAAATAGTTAATAAGCGATATAAACAGGAGCACCATTAATAATAACATGGCCTAAAATTGGTTTTATTGTGTTAATTTGATAAAAGTTATTTTATAAAATATGAGTCTAACCCTCGCCTCCCAACTCATGCCAATGAGAGGAATAATAGCGATGAGAACCAATAAAAGCGCGGCTATAAGTCTGGTGTCGTTGATTGCGCTGTTCGTTATAACAACTCCCGTGTCCTTCATTTAATTATTCAATAATAATTAATTAAGTAATTAGAATTAATTTAAGTAATTTTAAACTTACACCTATTATCTCGACAGCGGTTTCTGCGGCACCGATCAAATTGGCCGAAACTAACACTGCGTTCGCAAACGAAAATATAATGCCTAAAATCATGTGTTATATTTAGATATAAATATTACATTATGTATTTAGTAATATTTGTTTTTTTGTTAATTATAAATACCAATCATAGAGCCGGCTTCGGCCCCCAAACTTCGGCTAATCATATAATAAATTCCACCTATAGTTTAGAATAACATTATTTTGTGGCAAAAATAATGAATAGGCTTCATAACAAACCCGTTCCGATTTCACCATTCGTACAAATTGCCGACATAGAGATAGCCGAGCATAATGTGACCAAGGTTGATACTAATACTATCACGATACTCAGCGCTATTTACACACAAATAATTGGATATTATTAAAATGTTTATCGCAAAATTACAGTTAATATACTGATGATATAAACTATTAATTAATGATAATTAAATAAGAAATTGTGTGTAACTCAAACTTAATTGCGATATTCTAAGTAATCCGTTCTTTTTAAAAAGTTTCAATAGTTACATGATTCATGTAACATGATACATTAGTATGAATTTAAGCGAATTAATCATATATTGGTTTAATAGCTTTGAAAATTATAATTAACATTTTTGCTATCTTAAATATAATCTTAATTAGATACACATTAATTGTGATTTTTGTTATTAACAAATAATAGCAATCTTTTTATTTATTGTGTAATTTTAATTAACAAATGTTAGAATAAATGTTGAATATTATTTGAATCTATATTAAATAAATTATATTTCTTTATGTCTTATGTTTTCATTGTTATCAATTTTATACTATACGAGTATTAGTAGTATAAGAGTATTATATTATATATTTTACACATATTTTGTAGAGTAATATTATGTTACAATATTGTACTAATATATTGTACTAATTCATTCATGAATATTATTAACAATAAAAGAAGTAAAACTTTATGATATACTGTATATAACATTAAAGATAATAATAATAATCAATATACAAACCGATGCCGGCGTGTCCTTAAGTGTGTTGATTACGATAATTGTGTCAATTAAACAAATTGTTTCGAAATGTCATACAATTTTTGTCGGATATAGAAATACATAAAATATTTGCAAATATATTTTTTAATTGTATATTTATTAACTATATTATTAACATAATGAGATAATCTATTAAACTGTAAAATTCATAAGGCAACTTTAACAGGTAATGCTTCTCATAAGAAAAGTTGGAGTACTAATCCTTTTCCTATAAGTTATATGATGTTAGCAATCGTTTAAAGAAATCATATTTAAAATATTTTATTTCTATTACTGTATAACAAAAATTAACATAATGTTCAGTTTTAGTTTTTTATAACATATATTTTAAAGTTCTTACTTGTTAGATGTATTAAAATCAATATTAATTTCTACTTAAACTTTTTTTCACAATTTTAATAAATACAAAAACTATACTTTTTAGTGGTTCCCAGACAAACCCTCACTATAACTATAAAAGTAATATTCTCTCTAATGATCACTACAATAATGTCTGCAAATATAATTCCTCTCTATAGGACAGTTTCTTATATAATTGTATTTAACACTATTCAATATAATTAGTTATAATGACAACAATTATAATGAGGTAATATTAACCTGTCATCCAACCCATCCTTTAACAAAGAAAACAAAATTTAAATCATCAAGAACAGTTAATAGTAAATACAAAATTACCTCAAGAATAACATTACTCCCCATATATTTAGTACGGTTCGCACCTAATATAGCATATTATCATTAAATAGAATTAAAAACATTATACATCATATTATATTAACAAAATATAACTATATAATTCAGTTTAACAAANTACTCATCGCCCATATCGTCAACGATCCCATCAATCATAAGATAAGGGAAAGGGTTATATCGAGTCAATACGATTGGATGACTAAACGAAAGATCAAAGCTTTTTATTTGCTTCTGGAATCCAATTCATTGAAGAATGGCGTCAATTGTATGGTTCAGGTCAGATATAACGCACATCTTATTTATAATAAATGATATTAATTGCAATTATAAACAGATTGCAGGTCTCGGTCGCAAATTAAGACCAAACATCTTAATGCTCGGTAAGCATCAAATCAAAACCATTTAAATACAAATATTTTTATAACAAATTAATTTCCATTAATAGGATATAAAAGCAGTTGGAGAGACTGTCTTCCTGAGGATTTAATTGATTATCATAGCGTTATTCTGTATGCAATTCCTTTATTCACATTTTATTATTATATTTGTTTTTGAAATTATTTTTATTTTTGCTAACAATATAACACAGATTTGCGTTAGAAATTGAATTATCGGTAATGATGTTAAGAATACAAGAGGGCTTAGATTATGCGGACTTCTTTGATTCGGGTATTTATTAGACACTTAATAATACTATACGTTTACACACAAGTGGTCTCCTAAAAACACTTCAATTTCAGGCTTAAATAAAAATGACACCAAAATTTTGCCCACAATTGCTGAACCAAATGAAAGTTTGGAGGCGGAGAGTGAGACCAATCAGACTATCTCTATAAATGTTGATAACATTTCCAAAAGACAACACTTGAATGACATTAAAAGTTTGTTTGCATTCCTATATTAAGAATTGAGTTATTAAACACTTTGTGTATATTTTAAGGTCTAATACCAAACGATGCGATCGAAGCTATGAATCAATTTAATGAGAAGCAAAGGCGGGGAACAATTGATATCTGGCTGTTGGCCGATGACGGAGGACTCACTTTAATGGTTCCCTATCTTCTCAGCCTTAATGACATTTGGAGTAATTGTAGTCTAAGAATACTTACAATGTCTACAAACAGTGAGGAAATATGGGAAACCAAAGAAAAGTAATGAATTACCAGTAATATTATAATTATGTCAATATGTGTGTGTGTGAGAGAGAGAGAGAGAGTGAGAGTGAGAGAGTGAGAGAGAGAGAGAGAGAGAGAGAGAGAGAGAGAGTCTTAAAAATGTAATTTACTATACAGTATAGGTCTATCATAGAGAATCACAACCAAACTATATGATTGTAACTTTACTGTACACTAAAACTTTTAGTTTAAACCAATTGATGTCCAAATTGCGAATCCCATGCTCTGAGATACGAGTGTTCGCTGAATCAGATTTAGAGTCAAACAATCAAAGGTGTGTTATATTCTCGTCTCAATTCATACAAATATTGTAATATTTAATACTTTTTCAAATACCAAAACAGCAAAATGAAATTTGAGTCAATTATTTCAAACTTTGTGGTCAAAAGTGAACAAAAATCTGCGAATAAAATTTCGGTGACGAGAGAAGAGCTCTTCAAATATAGAGAAATAGTAAGTATTGACTTATTATGCTTTAAAAGCAATACCAATAATAATAATTTTATATCATTTGTTACTAATAGACAAATAGATATTTAAAGTTGAGACAACTTTTAATAGAGAATTCAGTGAACACAACATTACTTGTTATGTAAGTCTTAAGAAACCACTGATTTCGATGTTTATATCAATGAATTGGTTGTCATTATGTGTTAGGACTCTACCGATGCTCAACAAAGACATACCAATCCCTCTATACATGTGTTGGTTGGAAGTGTTGACGGATTTGACGGACACAGAAACCGATCACTTCTACCGAATGCCGCCATTCCTTCTGCTCAGAGGTTTCGGGCAAAGAGTGATCACTGTTTGAGACCAAAGCAAACACTACTATTGTATCTCTTAATTAACAATAAATATTTATTCAATAAATTATTGATATAAAAATGTCTCAATTAAATGATTCATTGATTGAAATGGCAAACAGAATATTCTGTACGGAATAATGACTAATATTTAAGGCATATTTAGTATAAATAATTTGTAATTATATCACAAAATGTATCAAAAAATGTTGACTAAAACTGACATAATATCCAAATTGAAGATCATTTGAGCGTTTATTTAATTAACTGATGGTTGGAATCAAAGAGACTGATCTCTTCGTCGTCCGAATCATTCAAAACGAATGCATTCTTCGGAATCGAGTCATTGATGGCAGTCGTCGGCAGAGAATCATATTTCGGACAATCCTTCGATGTCTTCATTCCTTTGGATCCTTTGGAACAATACACGCGAAGAATGCAAATCACTAATAGAGTCATCGATATTACCATAATCTAAACACATTCCACACATTTGTTAGCCTTATTCGCAACAATCATATCAACGGTAATAAGAGGACAACCACTCACCACAAGAAGAGATCTCATTACGAATCCAGTGGTCATTTGGATTCTGTGCACAAATGGCTTGTCATGGGATGTGTTGGAAGTGCTGTTTTGGTCGTGACTGGCGTTCGCTCCACACCAACAGTGGTTTGCATTCAATGCCAACACTAATAATGATATCAAACAAAACTTATAAAGTTTTGAGACAAACATTGCTTTCATTACAATTGAATTGAATATAAATTATAAATAAAAAGTTGGAAAACAAATCATTAGTTGAATTAAAAACAAAATCAAAGCATCGATTCTATCAATAAATAATGTCTTTATTAATGAAATTAAAAACATTTTATTTTAGTTTTGAATACTTTTTTGATATTAAAATGTTGTTCTCATTTGTCATTAGAAGTACAGTATTCCTAATAATGAGAACACGCTTTGAATGAATGCTTTACTCTATTGTGAGAGACGTTAGTCTTGTGATCGCATTCAACAATACAATCGTTTCCAATAAATGCTTACTTCAATTCATTTCTTTCTAAGCCTTACCTGTATGACCATGGTCATGTACCATGTTCATTTTCTCATCATTACCACATATTATCCATGTCTTTAACTCACAATTGGCATGTTGTCACATATGAACCACCACTTTTCTCATATATTCAACCATGATTCAAAGTTGAAATAACTCTTACATAATAGTTACATAACAAACAAATGATATACAAAGTGAGGCTAATATTAATTAACATTTCTAAATGATATCAATAAACAATTATATAATTTCAAAGTGTGAACAAATGGTTAATTTTTGTATTAATTAAAAAATGATGAGTAAAATAGCAATTTTGTAAACACTTAACAATTAGATGATATGATTCGTATGGTATGGTCTCTCATACGGAGGTTTGTCTGTATGTGTTTGTGATGTAATAATAGATACGTTTATTGAATACACTTTCGATTTGTCATTCAATTTGTGTTTTTTGTGATAATTTCGTTGTTTTT